GGAGATCCCTCAGCTTTCCTGCCATTGGCCTTTGCTATGTCTCCTCAGAGTTTCCCTAAACTCAGGACACGCTGGCCAAACACCACAGCCTTTGCTTTGGGCCACTCTCCCCACACAAAATGGACTCCACAGAGCTCCCCTGTCTCAGTTTTTCACTCTGAAACTTCAGCGCCCCTCTACTAGGCTTTGCTCCCCTTGAGCCAAGCCCTAGAAGGTGACCCACGCTCTCCACTTCAGATGACCCTAGCTGAAGACCCTTGCTCTGGGCACGATTTTGCCAAGGCTTTACTGGAATACTCGTATCCCGCCGCTGCCACCAATTTTATTGTAACAACCTCCTTCTACCTCACAAAGGGGCCGTTACGTCACACTCAATCACTCTTTGTTTCCACTGCCATCAACCATTCCCTCAAATGAAGCTTCAGGCCAAAGTATGATTTCAAAATAAAAATTTAGGTTTATTGTGTACAAACAAAAGGAATGGTAAATCACGTGAATATAAATAATAAAGCAATCACTATAATATTATAACTATCACACACCCACTCTCACAGACTCTCTCAATGTAGCACAGTTCTTATCTCTCAGTATCTCCAAGCCCTAACCGTCCCAATCTCAAAGCCCTATCTGAAAGCCCTATCTGGCCCTATCTGAAACCCTCACACCATTCACTCCCCTTATGTACAACAGCTCCACCCCTTATGTCCCACCCTCCGTCACGCCATTGGTAGATGACACACAGTTTCAGCAGTGACGGGCAGGTGATGTCATAGCTGTATGTAACAGTGCCTGTGAAGGTGAGCAGGCCAAAAGAAGGACTTTCCTTGAAACTCTTAAACTCTGAGAGGGCTGGTATTGGGGGGAAAATAATCCTTCACATAGCCCAGACTAAACCTGTCTAAGGCTTTATAGATCATAACCAGCACTTTTAACTGGATCTGAAAAGTAACTAGTGCAACAATATCATAATTATTAGTGTCTTGTCCCTTAACATCACAGTTCCAAAATTTTTGAATGCTTAACTCTAAGACAATGGAGGATGTCTAGCAAATGATGATGATGTGGAAGCAAACAGGGTATCTGTGGCTGCTTGGTGTCCTGTCTTGTACCAGAGGAATGGGTGAAGGCAAAGAACAGTGATGCCTTTTCATGGTAATAAGTTAGATCATGAAATGGCATTGCTACTGTTTGAGAAATGTGCCCTTCCTAGAGAATGCATCCTATGGTTTCAGATCTAAATTCTTCCTAGTGTATATATGTATTGTGTAGAGAGGTATGTTGCCATTTTTATTGGTTTGATGATCAATATAATGTAAGATGGAGTGTTTGTGTATGAATGAAATACTGCAGAATGGAGTGGAAGCATGAAAACAGTAGCAGAAAGGCAGTGATAACAACAACCAAACCTTAAACCATTTATAACTTTTGAGACCAAATGTTTTCTTGTAGGAAAATGTATCTGTCTTTTTTGACTGGAGTGGTGAACTACTTCAAGTGATCCAATGTGTGTTAGAAATGCAGCAAAATATGTGCCAAAGCTACCTGCAGTCACATAGCCACAGTCCTGGTTCTGGAGATAAAGGGTTGCTGGTAGAGAAGCTGCAACATATAATAGAACAGCAAGTATGGGAATTTTTAAATATTTATCCTGATACAGTCTCCTTTCTTAATTTGGATTAAATTCTAAATATCTAATGAAGAACAAAAAGATTGTATATATGTTGTGTGCACTTGCCACTCTACTTCCATTGTATGAAGATCATTGATCATATATGAACTGGGCAGATCCTGCACCAGAACTTTGAAGTCTTACACTAAGAAAACCAGATTCTTCATTTAGAAAACAGTTTGGTTAATTGTCCTGACTTGCTACTTTTGGGGGGCGGATCAATATCAGTTGCAGGACCTGAACTATGTTCCTTGATGAGGGAAGCAGAATGATGCTTTTCTTACCATTTATTCGAGAGAGTCTTCCCCTTTTAAACTGACTTTTTAATTAAAAAAACCACATTAACCTGATTTTGAGAATCTACAGCTTTTCTTTGAAGGTGTTAAATTTGCCGGATTTCATTTCAGGAACAACAACAAAAAATCATTCTGGAGCATCTTTTATCTTCAGACAGGAAGGTTTTGCTTACTAAAATAAAGGACCTTGAAGCTCAGTTGCGACTTTTGTATCTTCAAAGCCAAGAAAAACTGCAGCAACTCCAAGAAATGCTGATTAATACAGAGAATCATGGTAATAAACAAGAACATCAGCTTCGAAGGCAAGGTAAATATATCATACAAGTTTATGAAGCATTCTTTACTTTTCATCATTTCTGTTTGACTAAAACCAGAAAATCTTCATTATGTGGACAGGAGTACAACCATTCTCAATAAGACCTAATGATAGTTGTTAGGGTAATCAGAAATTCTTTTGTGTTGATGTGCTGAATACTGTACATGCAGTTAATGAAGTCCTTAAACTATATTTGCAGAAAAAAATCCTGCTTTTAAGTGGGTTGGGTTGGGTTTGGCCAAAACAGCTTGAAGTGCCAAAAAATGTGAATAGGCAAAAACAAAATAATAGATCCCATTTTTTGCTGTTGTGGGTTTTTCGGGCTCTTTGTTTATGATCACTTAACAGTAAATATGTTATACCTTCAGACGTGGCAACTATTTTTAATTGTGCTATAAAGTACTTCTTGGCCCATGAACAGCTGTTCCCCTAGGCCTCTATTCATGCTTTTTCCTGGCCCACTCATATCACACAGCAAAATTATGACATCTTTCTTTACCTCTATCAAGAACGGGGGAGAACAAGGCTTTGGTCCCATGCTGAACCATATGCACTTTATGTACAGCAACTGAAAAACAAGTACCATAACTGGAGTGGTTAGTAGAGCACGTCTGTTATACATCATTGCTGTATGTACTTGTATAAATTTTCCCTTACGCAATTATTTCTTATAGTAATAAAAGCATTCCATTCAGGAAGGTTGATATATAGCACTCTAGATGTTGTTGGATTATAATTTTCATTGTATCTGGCAAGTAATAGCGAGTGTGGTTAGGAATGGAAGTTGTAGCCCAGCACCATCTGGAGGGCTACAGTTTAGCCACCACTGCTTTTTAAAGGAACAAGAACAAGAAAAGGTGCACAGAATCTTGTTCATTCAGTTGAACATCTAAACTGAGTTAGGATAAACACACTTTTACAGTAAGTGAAATAAGGGGTTATATCTTTTTATAGCCTGGTTTGCAAATAGCATGAAAAGAGGAATGGATAGTGAGGATAGACATTGACAACTGAGATGAAAATAAAACTCTATTTTCAGCCTTTTAAAAAAAATCACTTAATTGGTCAATAATTATAGGATAAAAATGACTCTGGTTCCTGCTTTTTTACATTGCTCATGCAGTGCTTCTTGCACAAACATAATTTGAGTTTCAGTAATAGAGATCTGTGCTGTTGTATTGGCGCTCCGCGGAGAAGTAGGAGATTTTGCCTTACTGCACCCAGCAGAATCCTGGCCTTAATATTAAGTTTCCACTTATCTGAAGGAACATAATTGTGATTATTGAGAAAGCAAAAAGAGCAATAATGTGCAACAAGTTATTGCATTTTATAACTTATTTATGGTAAATGTTTGCTTGTTTTCAGTTGAATTACTAGAATACAAACTTCAGCAGGAAAAATCCATTGCAAGTGACTTGCAGGCTTCTCTAAAAATTGAGCAAGTGAAGGCCTCTCAAATGCATGATCTACTCAAACAGGAAGGTGCTGCAATATTTAACTTGAAATCAGATCTGTGTGAAAGCAAACAAGCAAATGAACAGCTGCAAAAATCCTTACAAGAACTCCAAAAAGAAATAGTTAAATACAGGTAAGTACATTTGAAAGATTTAGTTGAATAATCACTACATTTTCAAAGATAACATTTTCATGTGAGGCTTTTTCATGGTGTCAGTTTGCATAAAGGCCCTGTACAGTACGAATTTAGTAGAAGTTAGGAATGCCTTTGAATCAAAATTCACCTATTCTGTCATGGATTCAGATTCATTTATAACAGTATTCAGCTTTGCAATAGTTGCCCAGAAAGCATTTCTTGTTTAGTCATTAAGTCGTGTCCGACTCCTCGTGACCCCATGGACCAGAGCACACCAGGCCCTGCTGTCTTCCACTGCCTCCCAGAGTTGTGTCAAATTCATGTTGGTTGCTTCGCAGACACTGTCCAGCCATCTCATCCTCTGTCGTCCCCTTCTCCTCTTGCCTTCACACTTTCTCAACATCAGGGTCTTTTCCAGGGAGTCTTCTCTTCTCATGAGATGGCCAAAATATTGGAGCCTCAGCTTCAGGATCTGTCCTTCCAGTGAGCACTCAGGGTTGGTTTCCTTCAGAATGGTTAGGTTCGTTCTCCTTGCAGTCCAGGGGACTCTCAAGAGTCTCCTCCAGCACCACAATTCAAAAGCATCAATTCTTTGGCAGTCAGCCTTCTTTATGGTCCAGCTCTCACTTCCATACATCACTACTGGAAAAACCATAGCTTTGACTAGGCGGACCTTTGTCAGCAAGGTGGTATCTCTGCTTTTTAAGATGCTGTCTAGGTTTGTCATCGCTTTCCTCCCGAGAAGCAGGTGTATTTTAATTTGATGGCTGCTGTCACCTCTGCAGTGATCATGGAGCCCAAGAAAGTAAAATCTGTCCTTGCCTCCAGATCTTCCCTCTTCTGTTTACCAGGAGATGATGGGACCAGTGGCCATGATCTTAGTTTTTTTTTATGTTGAGCTTCAGCCCATTTTTGCACTCTCCTCTTTCACCCTCATTAAGAGGTTCTTTAATTCCTCCTCACTTTCTGCCATCAGAGTGGTATCATCTGTATATCGGAGGTTGTTGATATTTCTTCTGGCAATCTAAATTCTGGCTTGGTATTCCTCCACTCCAGCCTTTCACATGATGTATTCTGCATATAAGTTAAATAAGTTGGGTAGACAATATACAGCCTTGTTCAACTCTTTTCCCGATCAGTTTTTCCATATCCAGTTCTAACTGTTGCTTCCTGTCCCACATATAGATTTCTTAGGAGATAGATAAGGTTATCAGGCACTCCCATTTCTTTAAGAACTTGCTGTAGTTTCCTGTGGTCCACACAGTCAAAGGCTTTTGCGTAGTCAATGAAGCAGAAGTAGATGTTTTTCTGGAACTCTCTGGCTGGAGAGAATGCTGTACACATAGTGTATCTTGACTTCAACAGAGCTTTTGACAAAGTGCCCCATGATATTCTGATCAGCAAGTTAAGTAGGTGTGGGCTGGATAGAACAACTGTCAGGTGGATACACAGTTGGCTACAGAATCATACTAAGATGGTGATGATTGATGGCTCCTTCTCCAACTGGGATGAGGTAACAAGTGGGGTACCCCAGGGCTCAGTACTATTCAGTATTTTTCTTAATGACCCAGAGCAAGGGATACAGGGAATGCTAATCAAATTTGTGGATGACACAAAATTTAGTGGATTAGCTAATACTCTGGAAAACAGAAGAAAAAATCAAAATGATCTAGATAGGCTTGAGCACTGGGCTGAAACCAGAATGAAATTCAACAGGTATAAGCAAAAAG